CAAGCATTAGTGGGACCCAGGCCGGCTGGAATTCCACAATCTAACTAACCTCATGCAGCATTTCTGACGTCTAAAAAGTTGGCTACTGCGTGAACGCCCATTACCATCATCAGCTACTTAAAAAAGGTTACAACTAGCTGTCCTAGTTAACGTTAGCCAAATAACTTGGTCAACTGTCTTCTTGCGTTTGAAAAAAGAGGAGCCCCCTAATTCTGACAAAACTCCCGGGAATACAATGCTTAGGAGGCTATGGCATAACTACAATTTAATCAAACTCTCTGACCCATTACTTGTATGACAACAAGGCTACAGTGTGTATCAGCATCTTGAGGAGGAACTCAAACTAGTGGACAGCGTTTGAGTCACTAATAACTATGAGGCATGAAAATAGCAAAATGCTACGCAGACGAGTGTATATACGGTCCTGCTTACTGGAACAGTATGTCTCAATTATCAGTCAAGGTAAACATGAACAAACGGAGCTACAAACGCTCCTAGTCCTCAGCGAGGAAAACCCTGTTTCGTCCGCACGTGCGCCGGACATCAACGTTAACGTCAACAAGATCACACAACCGCAGACAATTGTTTTTTGGCGAACTTCGGTACGTAAGCCCGCTAACAACTCGGTCAATCTTAAGCCAAATCTTAGAAATTATATAAAAACGAAAGTCTAACATCGCTAGGTCAGCGAAGAATACCCCAGATTCCGATAAGTAGGAAAAGTCGTTACTTAGGGACAAGGGCAAAAAAAACAGAAAAAGGCACGGCATATGAACAACGACATTACTTCTTCCGCTAAGGCGATGAACGCAGGCATGACAAGTCATAAGTCACGATGATGAGGCTGCTACAACATTCGGCAATTTAGATAAACCAGCAAAACAAGCTGGTGACAGCAAATGCAGTTATGCACGCCCTAAGGTCACACAAACAGGTCGGTTGAGAAAGTTCGCTAGCGTAGGACAGGCCCTGCTGACGTAAAGACGCCGACACTCGACGCGAGAGGACGAGTGTCGCAGTAAATTTGTACCAGAGGCATAACTGCACTTAAGGCCTCGATTGTTCTTATTGACTATAGAAGTACTGTTAGTCGGCTTGTCGATCGCTCGCACACAAATTCGCTGCCGAGGAAATATGCAAGACTAAATGTTAAAATTCCCCCGAAGATAAAAGTGAAAAACCAGTAGTGTATCACGAAATTGCAGCAGCTGGAAATGAGAGGTGTGCTAGCATCTGCAATTTTCGGCGTGACACAAGCAGAAAATCAACCTGTAATTTACAAAAATAACGTGTTAAGTATAACCCGGAAGTTTTCCTCTAAAACAATCCCTACCACTTTTCTGGACAATGACTACGCACAGCTCTTACAGTACGTGCAACATATAAACCATATACTACTCAAATTTTGTTATTTCATAAATTTCAGTTTTCTGTTTTGTGTCTTCTTAACTTCTGTGCTAACAACGTATTTTAGTCTGTCGCGAATTGGGGCCACCGCTTGATAAAGCGAAACTATTCGGCCTCATCTGGAATATCTGCAACACTAATTGCTGTGCCAGGTTGAGAACTTCGTTTTCTTATAACTTATCGGAAATCAGCTCCTCATCGCACTAAAGACTGGATAACCATGTGATACACTGAATTGACTAACGATGGTTACAGTAAGTTAAAGACTTCGATGAACTCGTCACAACTAATCGACTGAAGTGAACGCCTGTTGTTTGAATAGCTAGGCACGGTTGGACTTCGGCTCAAGGAACCAAATACTTTGAAGACAAGGCCATTAAATGCCAAAGATCCACTTTATGCAGTGGTAAACAAGGAAGTCATAAGCAAAATAAAGCCAAGATGCATGTCCCTGAAAAGCGCTGAAAATCTATACAAAACACACGTGTCAAAAAAGTCTCCGTAGCCTGCGACAGTGGCTGCTGTTGCATTTTTGGCAAAACCGTAGCCATATCTGTGGTTTTGTGTGCTAGCAACCATCGTCGGAATCATCGCTATCGCTGAGATGAAGATCGTTCTCTATTAGGTCACGATGGAGGGAGAGCGGGTTACTCTTCGCGTTGTTATCAAGACCAGCAGACTGGCCCTGCTTTCCTGTTTTTGGGGGCGAAACAGATTTCACGCCACTCTTTTTACTGGGAGGAGGAGAGTCAAGAGACTCGAGACTGCTCAGACTTGAAAGACTACATCGGTCAGGTGAGACCGCTCCACGGCTATCGTTGTCACTACTCGAGCTGCTTGGCGAACTCAAAGTAGACGTCTTTGTGGGAACAAAGTGCTGCACCGGGGAATGCGACGCCGGTGACTTCCTAGATTTTGAGGCAGTCAGTTGGCTGGCTCCCTCCTTGCCTCGAGGAGTAGGTTCGTCTGAACTGGATTCGGACATGGTCCTTGGTTTGGCTCTTTGGTTAGCGGAATGATGATCAACTGCTCCTGCTCCAGTTGCCGAGAGTGACTCCGTTTTCTTTGATGTCTGATCATCACGAATCTTTTTCAATTGAGTAGCCTTAGATATGCGTTCCAATACCAACTCCCCAGTCTAAAGTAGTGGTAGCAAAGAGATAACGACTAGTGAGATGCAAAGAGTAGGGTCACGACAAGAAGTAAATGTACTGGAGATTCGAAAAGTGGCGGCAACGGCGGTAAGAGTAGCAGTATTAGTATTAATGACAGTGGCAGCACTAGTTGTGCCAATAGCTTTGTCGTTAATGGCAATAGAAATGATAACAGAAAAAGTAGCAATGACAGGAGAAATTTTGAGAACGGTGGTAGAAATATACATGCCTGAGGCCTTAGGTGATGTGTAACCTGCAAACTTTGACACTAATTGTCCTGGAAATAACACCAAAGGCCTAAATGACAAAGAAGCGAAGGCTACTGCCGGCAAAGGTGATCCTATCTTGAATGTCTGAAAAGTTGTTATCCCACTATCAAAAACAATCAAAGCATAAAGAATTTGGTGAGACACCCAATACCCTTAAACAGTTGGGGGAACGTAAGGCCTCTTTGGTCTCGTAAATAAGGGCACAAGTTTAAGCAGACTCCAGCCGCTGGTTATTTGAAGTCTCCGTAAACACAGTCTCTGGTGACA